GGCGCCGTGGAGCAGCCGCCGAGAAGTGAGCGCTAGCGAGTGACGCGCCACCTAGGTGGCCGCCCGGCGAAACTCCAACCACCACCGGATTTTGTAGTCTTTTTTGAGGTGGAAACCGGGCAAAGCCGACCCTCCATTCCCTTTATTCTCCGTGCTTGCTGTGTTCTTCTTTTTCTCCTGCCTTCTTCCGCTTGAGGGGGAGGGGAGGAGCAAAATGTTACCAACTGCCAAACTTGATATTTCGATGAACTTTGTAAAGAGGGTGCAAAAAGCGCGGTAGGTGGCAAAAATATCAAAACTAAAATATTAAAAAAAGGAAAATTTGATGAAAGTACATTTTCACTTCTTCTATGTTCTTTAGTTGATCTTTTTTCAAAGACCTGTTTCCTTGAAGTGCTGGGGTTGGTGCACAGGCAGGCGCAGAGCAGAAGCAGAGTGTGTCCAGCAAAACAACAACAAACATGGCACGTCTAATGTGTGATGCGTTCGCAGATATTTGTGTTCTCATGTCTTATTTTTAAGAGTGACTATCAGATGCTCTAAAATATTTTTCACGTACGCTTTGTTATTGTGATTGTCCATTATGGCGCTTCTCGTGGTAAGCCTCCTATACTGCGCTCTGCCCATCAATGCGAGTCGACAGCTCTTTCCCTTTGCGTATGTTATTAGTCGTTTCTATTTATTTATTTATTTTTACAGGCGGCAATGCCAGTGTCACGAAAAGTGAGCATCCGTGGAAATATCACCCCTAAGGACTATCTTCGACGGATGAACCATCTAGCTAGTGTCTTCTTTACAACTGTGCGTTAGTTAACCTTTACAAGTGTTATGGCGCCCAATGATGATTACTTACCAGCCTCAAGGTAGCCATTATGAAAGGGGTAAATTTTCTTCTGTCCATACTGACACCAGTAATCTCCACCTGTCAGTTTTACTCTGTAAGTAATACGTAGTAAGTTTATTTCATCAACGCTGTGTCTGCCAAACCTCCTTCCAATTCTTCATCGCTAAACCCACAGTATTGTTGTCGTTGTGGTTAGGTGCTGTACTTTTTATTAAAATCACCAGCCTACCCTTAGAGGTTAACTTTGTGATGGTTGATTGCCTGCCTTCACTAAGAAAAATGTATCTTTTACTAGGTCCTCAGTGTTTCTCACTGTCCATATGTCCACGGGGTCACAGTCATCCATATAGACTTAAGGATTTAACTACTCATAATAATCAAAAGCAATGATACATTTTAAAGCACTTGTGAATCCATATAATTTTAAAGAAGCAGGCATTGTCAAAGTTGTCATCTAATTGCAGTTTGTATTGTTGAATTATTTCTTACTATATATTTTTTTTTCTTGTTTTTGGAAGAAAATGTTTGAAACAGTTTTAGACTAATAGACTCTACTTTTGTTTAGCTTCTTCTTTGCCTGTGTTCAAATCTCTAGATGATAGTTTTTCATCAAAGTCTTATTTTTGTACTCCTTGTAAACCCTTCCAAATTTTCATTAAATAATTCAAAATTGGTCTATTCTTTGATCATAACTTTTGTCCCTCTATTTCTTTCATCTTACATAATTAATAACTATGAATGCATGTTTCCCCGCATTCATCTTTGGAGGGGTGGGGAATGCACACATTTGTATGGGGGAGGGTGAATCAAAACATATAGAATTATTGGATTTCCTGGTCAAAAAACTAATATATTGAAAGTGAACTGCTTTATTTACTAGGTGGGTGTATTCTGATGCAGAATTTAGTTCTGATTCAACTGATTCTATAAATAATACATTTTAGACAGTAAAAAACATTAAAAAATTGACTCACCAGTGAGGATGTTGTGCACAAGCTTTAACTCTGGTGAGACTACTTTCAAGTGGCTTTTGACTTCTACACAAAACTTTTCCATTATTCTTTTTACTGTTTGTTGCATTAAAGCAATCAGAGCATGATACTGCATCAGTATATTACCTCATAAGAAAGGGAAACAGTTCAATATCCATATTTTAGTTTTTATGGTAAAAAAAAATTGGGTTTATCTTTGTCCACTGCCCCATACATATGTCCATGTACAATAATAATCAAGACAAAGCATCTGTAGTTTTACAATGCAGCAATCAGAAGAAAATTTAAATGAAAGTACACTGGCAAGAGAAATTAGAGAGCAAAGTAAACCATTGGGGGAAAATGCAAAAATTTGTCACAACAATCAATACAATTACTGGAAGTGAATTGAAAATATTGTGCTGTCACAGCCTTTGAACATGAAGCCAACTCATGATTACAACTAGTTAGGCAGAACTAATTTTTTCTGCCTGGTCCGCATTTTTATATGTCTGCAACCAGAAAAAAACAAACTTAATATTGAAAATTATGATCAGTTAACAAGAAACTTTCTTCATGTTCAAGTATTGGAAACCTTTAGCTGCATAAGTATCACTCACCCAAAACTGAATGAAAAAATGTTGAGTTTTAGTTATCATTGACTTCGTCATTGAGGTCCTGGCCTGGAGGTTGAGGTGGGTGCAGAACTCGGTCATACACCCCCTGAATCCTTCTAGAGGCACGGCGTAAAAATTCATCGATAGTGATTTCACCCTCATCATAATCTTCAGTAAGACCGTTTATCCTTTCATCGTTGACTAAGGCACTTGCTTTGCGTGCACGGCTTGCTTGTGCACCACCGTCTAGCACAATGTGGTCTGAATTACAGATGTCCTCCAACTTAACACAGGCCGCTACAAGTAAGGGACAAAATATTAGTAAACACTCATTAGAAAGCAACAGCAGTAAGATGCCATTTTTTTCTTTAACATTAATTATAGGACCTTACAGAGTAGCTGGAACATGTTTGGTTTGTCCCGTTTTGCTTGGCGGTACATTGAGGCATTGTACGACTCACAGCAGTTGGATGTCCTATACTTGTTCCGGTACACAGACAAGATTCTTAATCTAGAGGGGATTAGCCAAGTATTTTGGTAATATCTCAGTAGTCGAGCAAGGATCTCCAGTCTTAGCTCAATGGCTCGGTTCAAAACGGTCAAATGACCATCAATTAGGTCATCCCTTTTTAGCAGGGGGATGGCACAAAGTGACCGCACAACACTGTCTGCTTCTTCATTGTCCCTCAGCACAGGTCTAAGGCCAAGTTCTTTGGCTTTTTGGCTGACTTTCTGAAACATATTTCAAATGTGATCTTAAACCTGGTGCAAGTATTCAGAATTTGCTTGGCACTGTATCTCCCCTCACCATAGGAGGTGGTGTGTATAAACTTCTATGGAAAAGGCATACAAATGCATCATTAAATTAACAAAACAGTCAGCCAGGCTCTGAAATTTTCAAATATATACTGGTGATGCTACTCTGATCAGTTACTTTAAGTTACTTTTTTGAAAGACTTTTGTCTGCATCATTACCTTGTAAAAAACATATGAGATGACTAATTACTAATTAATACTATATTTAAACTGCACTGCAGAATACTGAACTTACATCTGTGTGGTGGAAGAAGCATCCATGGCGTTCCACATTTGGGAAAACTTGCGCCCATCCTGCTTGTTCCCCTGGTTCGAAATCACACATGATTTTGGTAGGTCTGAAATTAGGGCACATGGCCCTTATGGCCCTCAGTGCTACCACATAACATGCTGTGGTTTTACTTTGCATGAGCACAGAGCCCAGAGGAATGATCTGAAAAATAAAGACAACAATTAAATGTATTACAAGGAAAGACGCTACCAAAACAATATGTATAGGTGAAACGAATAAACCATACATGTGGATTTGATTTCCTCCTAAGTGTGACCAGATTTAGAATTTGAGCACATCCAGAGTGTTCTGGGGTTATAAATGTACCATCACTAAAAACAAGTTTTACTGTGCCCCTATTTAAGTACCGTCGTTGTCTTTGTGAGAAAAGAAGGACACATCTGGTTCTATCTTGAGTTCTTCCAACAACCCCAGCATAGATGTTATCCTCATCATCAGGGGACTGGGTCATCCATCTTAACTCATCAGTATTTAGAAGGTTTGCTAGCTCTGTCAGCGTCCTGGGTAATTGGGGCCAACCTTCTCTCCTGGCCTGTTCCATGGACCTCCGAACTTTCTTGAATGGCATATTGGCAAAAGCTTCCGCAGGGGTCCTATGAAAAAGCAGAATAGCAGCACTATAGATTGGTTTGATTTTAATCTGCCAAAACAACAGAGATTTGTCACAAAATGTCGGAGTGAACAATTATTTTTCAACATGTAAAAAGGCTTTTGAAAATATTGAAATATACAATTCCAATAACAGATACTTGATTCAATTAAATTGGGTAGTTTGGAAAAGGGAAAATAAGGCCAAGGAAACAAGACGTATGTTAAACGACTCCAGTGAAATGATAAAGATCAAAGTGGTGTCAAGAGAATAATTTTGACATCATTTCAACATTGTTTTGACTAAAAAATTAGACAACTTTCAGGTCATGTGAGGTCAAAATAATGCCAAATGACACTACGTTATCTTTTCTTTTCACTGGGATACCTTAGTCGCCTCCGTTCTTCATGATAAATTTCATGGAGGGTGCTGTTGTCTTCCTTGTCACGACACCTCTCCAAGATAGCATGTCGAAGTCTCCGCTCATGTTGAAGAAATCTTGGAGGTGGGTGGACGTGACGTCCGCAAGCTCTAAAACTACCATCACGGGGATCTATGCTGGCTGCTCCAGTGCAGCGCAAAGTGTGATAGTGGTAGCAGCGCACGTAGACGCGACCGCCTTTCATCAATTTGTTAAAGTGGTAACTGTGGTGGTCCGGCCCATGAATAAGCAGGGTATTTCGCCTGATTCCGTTCTGAAGATTAATCACGGGTGGCATGGCAGTCACTTCATTTGACACGTGTAAAATTGCACGGACTTCTCACACATTAGGATAGCCTTGGGCCAACAACAACAACAACAGCAGCAACAGCAAACAAAAACAACGGCGACGACGACGACGAACAGAGAGGGGTAGTTAATGCGTTTATTTTCATGGCGTCACTACAGATGTCGCTGCAGGGCAGGGAATGACTACATGATTTACTTAATTTCTTATCCTTTATTTTCAGTGCCACATTATTATTTCAGAAACGACATAAAGAATACTACTGTCAACTCCCTACTTTAGAAAAATAGAAAAGAAGAATAACTTGAAAAATTTCCAATTTAAAAAGGGTTGGGTAGACTGTCCCCCCCCCCCCCCCCCCCCCCCCTTTTCCACTCACTCTACTCACTCACTCGACTCATTCGTTTGCTCGTTGCTCCAGTCTCCTGTTGATCAGAAACACCATCGACAAGATGAATCCTGAACAAGTAAGTGGTTTCCGTCCATTTCGGCTTAAAAGTTATTTTGCTACAAACCATATACAATACTAATGTGCCGCAATACTTAAAAGCACAGACTTTCGTTGGCTTTTCATGCCAAGGGTACAGCTTTTCATGGTTATGTTCCTCCCAATAAACACGAAAAACTCACGAAGACATCATATTGACATGAAAAGGACTAATTTGGTCACGAGAGAGGTCAAAAATTAGGCCAAAACTCAGTCATTTTGACGTCAAATGTCCGAAAATGACCTTTTCGTGACATTTTCGTGTTCTCTGGGTGGGTCCAAACGACGTTGTCATCGCATGATGAAACTCGAGCCAAAGTCTAGCATAGCATCTCTATGTAGCATTTCATAAAGTTTTTGATTTTAATATTTCATATATGTTATTCCAATGAAAAGTGGCAAGTCTCTTGGAGGTCACTCTCTCTTCTCTTGAGCTCAGTTTGACACATGCGTAAAGTTTCACCCAGTCTTCCTGTATTTTTGAAGAATAATATGGTATCTACATTTCAAGCTTGAAATATATAAACTGGAGTGTAATTTTCCTCTGAAAAATGCACAAGAACTGTATAGACTGAAATAGTTTTTATCTGAGGGCTAATTTTCTCGTAGTAAATCTCAGTTTTTGTCAATTTTTCAGCAATTATTTTTTACTGGTGTTAGACTTGATGAACTTAAATTATTTCTATTACAGAAGCAGTTCTGTTTACCACCACCTCTAGTTTTGGATGAGGACATCATCCTTAAAGACATGATAGAAGCCGGCACAAGGAAGTCCCTCGCTGAGGTAAGATTCTTTGAAATGTCATTCAGAAAGGAAGACTAGTTCCTTTAGTCCTACCACAATTGGGCTGTGAAGTGAAGGAAAGCAAGGGGGCGAGAATTAACTGTGCAGACAACAGAGCTCCTGACAAATCATTGTTTTATAACTGACAGTGGAAGCAGACAACCGACAATGTTTAAACATCTTATACTTCAGACGTTCCACTCCTACACTTTGCGCTCAACTTTTCTGTGGAACTATCTGATAAGGAAACCTGGGTGAGAGCAGATTTTAAAGAAAAATGTACAGGCAAGGACATATCAGGCGGTTTTTTTTTATTTTTATAAAAATGTAAACTATTGAGAACAGTTTCAATTTTAAATCCAAAGTGATTTTGAATTCAAACTGTTATCAATAGTTCATATTTTAATAAAAATAAAAAGGTACCTGGTATCCCTTTACCTGTACATTTCTTAGTAAACTGTGGTCTCACCCAGGTTTCTTAGTCAACTATTTCCGCAGAAAAGTTAAACGCAAGATGTGGAGAGTGGAGCGTCTGATGCAATTTCAAAATTTTAGTTGCCAAAAGGGGATAAGTCAACCTTATTTGATGACCCATATACAATGCCTCAATGCCATCAACATCTCAGTTTGGGGAGAAAGTGTTCAATAAGTGCAATCATTTTTACTTAGGTCAAGTTCCCAACACTATATCGTTTAAGTGGGTCAGTCTGGACCCCTTGTCCTTTTTAACAAGGCTAACCTGTCAACCCCAAACAACTTAAAAACAGTCTTTTTATTTCTTCCATAGCTCAAACCACAATTTGACGTTGCACTCAAGGAGCTCAAAGAAGCCATTGCCAGCAACTCCCCGCTGTCGCAAGATGAGCTAACAGCCGCATTTTCTGCATCCATCAGTGAGGCTAACGGGCATATTGTGTCCTCTTTAAATAAGGTACGGTTGCTGTAATGTGTTTTAATTAAAATTTTCTGTGAAAAGAATATGCAACATCTAAAACTAGAACTTTGTTTCTAACTTTCAGTTAAAGCAAGAAGTGAAGAGTTATGGTGAAGATGGTGCCATTAACAAGGACGACATGCTTCGAGCATGCACTACTGCTTTCAGTCAGGTAGGACTCTCTTTTGTGCACATGTCTTACAAAAACCATCTCCTAAAAATTTGGATTTGTTGTCAGTTATGCACTTGACCTTGTTTTCCTATTGACAAAATATCAAAACAGCCATAAATGAGTTTCTAATCAGCCTTCCCAACCTATCCACATTACTATCTAAATATTGTCAGTGAATTTCCAACTAATAACCTTTGCTTATCTTTCAGGCGAACAGTCATATTCTGTCTTCCTTAAAGAAGGTACAGTCGCTGTAATGTGTTTAAAAATTTTCTGTGAAAAGAATATGCAACATCTAAAACTAGAACTTTGTTTCTAACTTTCAGTTAAGGCAAGAAGTGAAAACTTTTGGTCAAACTAGCGCCACCAATAATGAAGACATTTATGAAGCATGTTCGTCATCCTTCAATCAGGTAAGACTCTCTTCTGTGTACACTTGTCTTACGGAAATCAACTCCTTAAAATTTGGATATTGTTATTAGTTATCCACTCAACCTTGTTTTTCTATTGACAAAATATCAAAACAACCATAAAACATACTTTATAATCTCTTCCAGCTCAAATCGAAGTTCGATGATGCATTGCAAGAGTTAAAGCAAGCTGCTGATGCCAATGACTCACGTATGACACAAGATGAGTTAGTTTCGGCATGCAATGCATCTCTCCGACAGGTAGGCCATTCTTTGAACCATGTTCCATTTGTAAGATGTGGTTCTATACAGCCCTCCCACCCCATCCGCATTACTATCTAATTATTGCCACTGAATTTCCAACTACCAATCTTTGTTTTTTATCCTTCAGGCTAACAGTGAGATTACCTCCATGATGGAAAAGGTACGGTTGCTGTAATGTGTTTTAAAATTTTCTGTGAAAAGAATAACAAATATCTAAAACTAATACTTTTTTCTTTCTTTCAGTTAAAGCTGGAAGTAAAAAGTGTGCGTGAAGCAGTAAGTGCGGGAAACAAGAATCAACATACAGCATTTACTGCTTCTGTGATTGACGTAAGGCCTTGTTTTACAAAGACATTTTTAATCGTTCCATTACATAATGGGTTTCTACTCAACCCTACCTCACCAAATATCCACCTTGCTCTCCACCTTGATTACTATTCTTATTAAATTATTAACTCAAGGGGCTTCTACTGTATGACATAGCCTTCTTCAACTTTCTTGTTCTTGTTTCTTTCAGATGAAGAATGAGGTGATGTCTCACATAACAGAAGAACTCAGAGAGGTAAGGATGCTGTTTTAATAATGTGCTTTCAAATGTCACCTTATGAAAATCAATCTGAGGAGGGAAATAACTGATCTTTGTCTTCCTTTAACTTTCAGGTAAAGAGTGCAATTGTATCCACAATTGTGGAGGTAAGGATGCTCTTGCTTTTAACTTTTTTTAATCTAATAAATTTTGGAATCTGATGGATTTACTTTCTTTGCAGCAACAGAGGAAGGTCCTTGCTGACATAGCGAATGCCGTGGAGCAATGTGTCAGCACAGCATTTAATGAGGTAATACATAGTTATTTATGCTGCACTCCGTAAGAAACTTAACAGTTTGAGAAAATATGGTTGTCATTCTGGTTTTGCACCGTATGCTTCCTTGACACAATCTACATTGTGTGGCAATACTTGAGACTCCGTGAACATCTCTATTTTTTTCTCAATTTCGACCATCTCTTTTTCTATCACCCGTCATCACTTATCTGATGCACTCTTACTAGCCTAAGATGTGGGCCATTGTATGGTCTCACAATGGTAATCCATGCCACTTTATTTGCATGTGCCTCATTCTTTTTGAACTGTTTCAGAAGTATCAAACAAAATCACAAGCATCACGTCGAGATGAATCTTTTCTCTCACCAGGACTCTATGAAGATGGAAATAATGCGTCTGTGAGTATATTGCACATTGGCATTCTATTGAACTGGTCAAAATCACCTTTCTTATGACCTTAGATTGTCAGCTAATGGGTATTCATTACTTGTTTTAGCCTTCTTACCAAGACGTTGGGCAGGAGGATGAGGAGAGCGAGAGTGAAAATATTATTCACTTGGTAAGCAGACATACTATTAAGATGTGAGAGAACGTTTTGGAAAAAGTCATCCATAGCTGATTTTTTTTTTTAAGGATGAAGCCACTTCATCTAATGCTGTGCAAATGGGGACTTTGGCTGAAGTGAAGGTATAAATACTTAATGACTTGATAAGAATTATTTACATGCAAGGAAACATTTCTGACAGCAAGACATATACTTTCTGTTTTGCAGGCAGATATTTTGAAGAAAGTTGGCAATAATGCAGGAGCAAGCACGAGTGAGGCTGGATCCTCACGCTCTCATAAGCGCAAAGTAGCTAGCACTCCCACCAAGAGCAAAACACCTACTGTTGTAAATGTAATTGTTGTAAGTGCTAGATTTAGATAAAAAAAACCTGCAATTTTGTACATGTGACTTAAAAGTCTCTCTTGTTTGTTACCTAATTATCATTTCTCTACAACAGAATTCGTCTGATGAAGAGACAGATGAGGAACTCCAACCCAAAAACAAAAAGGTCAGTTTGCAAATATTTTGTATCGAAGTGCATATTTGCACCAGTTAGGTGCACCAAGTCCATGACTATTTGCACCAATTTTTCCCCCCTTCCGCCATGAGCTATCAGCTGCATATGTGTCCTTCATTTCGTTTTCAATTAATCATGCCGGCTCTATAAATTTCAGGCTGCAACTAAGTCCAAAGCCAAAAACACTCAAGTAAACAGCCGAACGACCAGAACGACAAAAGGGAAAACAAACCATTAAGTGAGTGATATTTATGCAGCTGATAGTTTTCATTACTTGAACATGAAGAAAATTTCTTGTGAACCTATCATAATCCTCAATATTAAGTTTGTTTTCTTCTTGTTTCAGACATTGAAGAATACAGACCAGGCTGAAACACCTAGTAAGTGACCTTCTATTTCTCTACCCGAAATGTGTACGCACAAGTATTGGACGGTAGGATTGAAAATATTTAACTTAAAACATCTTCCTCCTTCAGCTATATGCGATGTGTGCCGTGATATCTTAGAGAAGCCCGCTGAGCTGGAATGCTACCACATATTTTGTCTTACCTGCATGGAGGAGTGGCTGAAGATAAACCCAACATGCCCCTTGTGCAGGAAGGAGGCAGACCTCCTGTACTTAGGTCCTGTGGTGTCTAGTAAGTAAGAGTCTCGTCTGTATCTCTAGCTCTTTTATATGTTAGCATGTTTCTTATTGTTCTTAGAATGTTTCACTCAATTTTTTTTATTTTGTAATGGTGTCTACTACGTAAGAGTCTTGTCTGTATCTCTAGCTCTTTTATATGTTACTTAGCATGTTTCTTATTGTTCTTATAATGTTTCACTCAATTTTTTTTTATTTTGTAATGGTATATGTCTAACAGTCCATGACAGCACAATATTTTAAATTTACTTCCAGTAATTGTATTGATTGTTGTGACAAATTTTTGCTATTTCCCCCTATACTTGGGACCTGTTTAGCAATACCATGTATGGTTTTCTATATATTGTAATTGTTTAACATTTGTAGATGCACATTTCTTTTAATGTTTGACTTATTTTTTGTATTTTTGCATGGTTTTGGAATGCAATGCATTCCATAACTTATTTCTTAGTACATCATTTTGCAAATCATTTGTAATAAATGAAGCTTTCAATTCGTTTCTTTGACATTGGCTGTGTTTCTGCCCTTGCATATCTGAAATGAGAATGCTCGCCAACACCTTACATTGTTAAATCTGAAATCATGTTGTAGAATTTCTTGCAGTTATTGCGGGAGGGACTGTGGAGACAAGGAGAGACTGTTGGTTTATTTAAGCAGTTTATTGTGGTTAGTTCCAGAAAAGTTGCACATAATCTTATTGGGAATCTAAGTAGATGGTGAAAATTTCACAGTAAAGGTCGTGGATAAAATTTATTGAGTAAACAAGAGTTTGCTCCACAGATGACATTCAAAATTAAAATTGAAGAAAACAATAGTATTTAAGAAAAAGTTTACCCGGGGTGGAGGAGAGAGAGTTAATAATCCACACAATGAGATGGGGGCTGCTGATCTCTTAGGTTCTCAAAGCTTACTCTGATACCACCAGTAATTGAATGAGCTTAGGAACACAAAGGTTAACCTGCACAGGTAGAGATTAGAATTCATTAACTAGTGGAGGAGTTTTGGAATATCAAGGCAGAGCCGTAACTTGATTCCACATCACAAGCAGAACGTACAATTCAGGATATGACCCCAACATCCACAGCCACTCTATAAAATGCAAAATCGATTCGAAGTGGGAGTTGAGAAAAATGGATGGTGGCCTGTGGCGCACACTTTAACCCTTTTGACTGGGAGCCAGCTTTCTTTTCACCACAAATGGTACTGGAGTGCAGATAGAACGACATAACCTCGTTCTCCCTTGCGCTGATTCATTGCCAGGCTGCACGTCGGTTAGAGCACTTTATCATCTTCAAATGAGTTTTGGTGCCACACTGCTGATAGCGACCTGTTGACATGGTATTATGATTGAGTGATGTTAAAGCCCAAGAAGAGCTTCATGCAGCACAGCATTTGCACATCGCCGAAAAGGTAAACACATCTCACCAGACGAAGGAAACATAGAACGACAACTTACTGTCACTTGTGGGTTTATTGAGGAAGTGAAGGCAAACTCTTCGAATTCTTAATTATTAATTAAATTTATTGCATGTAGATGAATTGGTTTTTTTAACACTGATAATGGAAATAACACAACGAATATAAGAATGACAGACGACGGACGACGCCATAGTTGTTGTGAATGACAGTTCCAGTGGTGCGAACCTGCACCGAGGGTAGGGGTGATAAACATCAACCACGACGGGTGTGAAACTCATGTGGTTAATTTTTTTTCGAGTGTTTATTTATAAGAATATTGTGTTGATTGCGTTTTTGGGCTCCTGTGGGTCAACTCTTCGTTTGAATGCGACTGAAGGTTGGCAACACTCTAGTCGGTCGGAGCAAGCAGGCGTGTGTGTGGACGGTTTGTTTGCGGGCCATAGTAAAGTGAGAAGTGAGGAGCCCCAACCCCAGCCAACTGCAATGGCTGTTTCCGGTCGCTAGCCGTCCCCCCACCACCATAGCCGGCCTGGGATCTTGCCACCTTGGGAACTGCAAATGAGGGGCATAAAACCCTATTTTGTCTGGTTTGGTCGCCCAGCTCGCGATTTTAACGTCACTGTTATTCATATCTAAGCACATTTGGTGTATACGTTTCATCGTTGTTTAATGTCAGTTCCTTCTAATTATAATTGCGAACCATAATAATTTTCTGGGGATTCTGGGGATGGCTGGCTGCAGTGTGTCAACATGCACCATTTCTTTGAATGTTTCTGCTTTCATTCTGGATTGTTTATTTCGTGATTTCGAATATTATTTACAATGCAGCGTCTCGTTTTGACCAAGGAAATGAAAAAGATAAAGTGTTCTGTGCCGGGGTGACGTGCTTTTGCTGTATCAGGTGATTGCAAGACCGTTTTCCACTTTCCATCTGACACAAACAGGTTAGTGTGTTTCTGTGGTAGGTGGTTATTGTAGAACACTTTCCTCTTTAAAGCTCTGTGCAAGAGTGTGGGAAATTCATGGACAGTAAAATGGACCAATATTAAAT